ACTCTCTCTCTCTCAAACACACACACACACACACACACACACACACACACACACACACACACACACACACACACACACACACACACACACACACACACACACACACACACAGACAGACAGACAGACAGACAGACACCCAGCAATACGCACGCACGCACGCACGCACGCACGCACGCACGCACACACACACACACACACACACACACACACACACACACACACACACACACACACACACACACACACACACACACACACACACACAATATAATAGGTATTTGTTTCCTCTTATCAGTCGTGCCAGGATTGAGTTGCACTGAGTGCCCCCTATTGGTCAATTATATAACTGCAGTCTCTCAGCGCTTCTGTGTTGGCATGAAGCTGCAGCTCTCACTGAGGATGTGAATAAATACAAATGAATACACGAAATAATCTGACTTTGCATGCATTTGTGGAGGACACAAAACGGTGGTATTTCTTAAAGTGCAAGTATGTCTTTTGGGTGTATTATTGTTGCATATTTTGCCATTTTTAATGCATGAGAATACACTGACAACAGTATTCAGTACTGCTTGTTTTTTGGTTAAAACTATATGGAAACCTATGTGTTCACTCAGGCAGAACTCACATCCGCTGACGAGGTTTTGTATTCTGTAGAAAATGTCCAAAAGTCTAAACACAGTGTCCCAAATATGGCTAAATACCGGAAGAAGCATCAATAATTCACTTGGTAAACTTCCGTGGTAGTTATTATTTAGCTTGTATGGGTACACTGCCTCCTTCAGAGTTACAAAACGCCTTGTTTTCGGACTCTCTACTGGTCAATGTTTTCCAGTGGGCCCGTCCTGCCTTCGTTAGAAATAACACACTGACGCACCACTCAGTGTGAGATTGGTCCGCTTTTCCCAGCCACTGAATGAAGCTGAGCTGTGACGTAGACAAGGGGGAGGAGCCTGGGAAATAGTTTAAATACAGGGCTCCAGTCAGGAGAAAGACAGAAACACTCAGCACAGCATCCAAGAGCATCCAAAGCAACGCTCTCCTGCCTTTTTACGCACACTATCCACGGGAAAAAGCAGATCAACCAACCATGATTAAGAAAATGTCTCCGTCTGAGAGCGACTTCGACATCCCAGCAAAGAACTGCTACAGGATGGTGATTTTGGGATCCACCAAAGTTGGGAAAACGGCCATCGTGTCCCGTTTCCTGAACGCCAAGTTTGACGAGCAGTACACCCCGACCATCGAGGACTTTCACAGGAAACTGTACAGCATCAAGGGGGACGTTTACCAGCTGGACATACTGGATACATCCGGGAACCATCCTTTCCCCGCCATGAGGAGACTATCCATACTCACAGGTAAATATCTCACTCTGGGTTTGCATGAAGAAATAAGAAAGAAATGTTGGAAAAGTACATGTGAAATGCTGCAGACATGAGATCTCTCTGCAATGAGTGCATGGCTGCAGCGTGCACGACTACATGTTATATAGGATTTTAAATCACACATTTAGTTTCTGTTCTGTTGTTTCTTGCACTATTTGTATTATTTCTTAGTTATAATATGGTGCATTGTTTGAGGAGCTTAGGACTTATCATTTCAGGGATTGTAGGCTTTCCTTTGTTCCTTTTACATGCACAACAACTTTAAACACACTACAGGAAAGAGAGAACACTTGCCATACACTGTAGCTACATGCATATGACAGTAAAGCCTTTGAATGTTTAAAAAAACGTTGCATATTTTTAACCAAAGCATCCCTTTTTCTTCCTCCAGGTGATGTGTTCATCCTTGTCTTCAGCCTGGACAACCGCGACTCCTTCCAGGAGGTTCAGCGGCTCAAGAAGCAGATATTTGAGACCAAGTCATGCCTGAAGAACAAAATCAAGGAGCACATCGACGTGCCCCTGGTGATCTGCGGGAACAAAGGAGACCGGGATTTTTACCGGGAGGTGCAGCAAGAGGAGATCGAGCAGCTGGTGGCCGGGGACGAGAAGTGTGCATACTTCGAGATCTCAGCCAAGCGCAACGAGAACGTGGATAAGATGTTCCAGACTCTGTTCACTTTGGCCAAACTACCTCACGAAATGAGCCCCGATCTGCACCGGAAAGTGTCCGTGCAGTACTGCGACATTCTGCGCAGCAAGTCACTTAAAAACAAGAAGATGAAGGACGCTGGAGAAGCTTTTGGGATGGTCAACCCGTGCGCGCGCAGACCCAGCGTGCACAGTGACCTCATGTACATTAAAGAGAAGGCGATAGGAGGCGGGCAGGGCAAGGACAAAGAGAGGTGTGTGATCAGTTAAGAGATGTGAAGACACACACTTTTGACACAGATATTTTGAAAGCCGTGTGTGTGCGCGCTCACACTGACACGTGAGGTGTGGAGACGCCAGGCTGGCCGTGCGTAATGACGCAGTGCCGTCTCCACGGACTTCAACTGGACAGTCTGCTTGAACTGCCCACAAAAATGAACACAAACACTGTCCATGAGACATTTCTTGTTCTGTCAATCAGAGCCCAATGTGTGACGTGGCTTCACCTCGTGAGACTCGTGTTTTGTTGACGTCATGCCTTGTACAGATGCCAGAGAGGAGAATCTTGGCTATGGGGTGTTTTTGGAGAAGGAGAAATAATGTTGTTTACATCTTATCATGCATTTTATAACGGCTAAGTAAACTTGAATGTTTCATTGCAATCTGAGCTATTTTAAAAAATAGTGAATGTATATTTATTGTAAATATTTGCAGAGAAAATCTCAATATAATAAAAAAAAAACATAAACTAAAACTCCTTTTGTATTGTTTCTTATTCCTTCTCTAACTGTATTATGTGTTGTTGAAGTTTTCACGCTCACCCTGCCATGTTTATAGAGCATCAAATAATATCAATCTGTCAGCATCCAGGAACATGTTTCATTGCTTTCAAACTGATGATAAAACATTGATAACAAAAGCTGCAAAATCCACAAGCATCTTCAGATTAGATTAGAAATTGAAGCTCATCATATCAGAATCCAGTTTATTGTCAAGTATCTTTTCAACTTCAATGAGTTTGCTCTGGTGATGCATCACATTAGGGGAAAGAAAAGCAAGTGCAGAAAACACATAAAACAAAAAGATGGAACAAAGTTAATTTAGAAAGAATGAAATACATACCATAAAAACACATATCTGAGAAGAACATTACAAAATAAAGAACATGCATCAGAGACCGGTATCTGATGTTTGACTGAAATCACCAGGAGTTATACATCACACCTGTTTGCACCACAGTGACTCCACGTTTGGCCAAAAGTAACCAAAACCATAAACCTTGCTGAATCCTGAAGACGTTCTGAACTCTCACACATCAATGTGACTGAAGGAGAGCACATAGCATCACCACAGACTCTGAACAGGTGGAAATATTCATACACACTTGTAAATAAAGTGTTGAGGTGTACCATCTTTAAATCAACAAATAACATATCATTCATTTTGGTGTATTCAACTCAGTTAGACACAAATACATAGGGGTGGGACATCTCTACTGTAAGAGGTTAACCAATCACAACTGAGCCGGCCAGCTAACCAATCAGAGCAGACTGGACTGGTTTCAGACAGAGGGTGAAAAGAGGTGCTGCAGCACAGACAGTATGAGAAAAATAAAGAGCTTTTTGAACAATAAAGCATGGAGACATGTCCCAGTAGAGACACTACATACTAATATGAACCTGAAAATGAGCCAATTCAAATATTATATATACTCAAACCAAAGAAAATAAACATACAGATTAATATGAAGTCGATTGAACGAAATCTGTAGAATGAGTTTGTTAACGCACGGTGCAATCAATTAACAGCATTTTACTGTAGCCAATAGGTGGTTTGTTCATTAAACAGTAGGTGTCCCTTGGGATGGACCCCTGTTATTATTGGGAAATGTGGGTCAGTTGGACAAAGGATATATTTGTGTAAAGGGCAGCAGACACAGATAGGGACACAACAGTGTTGGTGAGATGGAGTTCCGATCTTACAAAAAGATACACAAATAAAATAAAAAGACAACAAAAACAGCTAAGAGGATACCGTCAATGTTTCAGATCACTAGGTTAACACCCCCTACATCAAACAACCCAAACACAGGACAGGCCGAGCACATTTATTATTCCATCCCACCTGTCCTTCGAGCTGATTGTCCTGATGTTGGCTTTTTGATTGTTTGTGGCAATAGTTTTTTCCAAAATAAATCGTTTTTGTAATACATTTTTATACACCATGAATTCAGATCACTTCTTAAAACAAGTACTTTACCCAGGAGAATAATTGTATTTATAATCTGTGGTTTATCTTCATTCTGAAGCCCAAATAAAATGTTGAAAGGTGTAAATGTAAAATTAAAGTTGTTTTTTTAATCTTGGACCACATACTTGCAACATAAAGACAGTGGAAAAACTAATGCATCTTGTTCATCACAGAATCTACATAATGGTGATTTTTCAATGGTACAAATGTAAAGTTGTATTTTAAGTAATGGTAATCTTGGAAAATATCTTCAGTTGGAGGATTCTTTGATAGGAATATATTTTTGTTTTGTATATTGTTCTTGAATTTTTTTTCTCCAAGGTATCAAAATAGAAGAACGCAAAAATTAAAACACTGGAAGTTAGCTAAGACCCCATTTACATGCATACGAAACGCAAACGAACCGAATACGATATCAAAAAAGTATTCCGTTCACACGAGAGCGCTGGAGACACTGTAGTACCGTGTAGTACATATGCCGGGCATGTAAGTGGCGCTGTACTTTCGCCACAAAATACACCAAAAGCAGCGAAGAAGCCCCCCGAGCATGGTTGCCCTTCTGTTTATGCCCCGCGGTGGATTTAGCAACATGTAGTTCATGTAATTCTCCATGTCCACTTGTTGCTGATGGTTGTGGTAAAGGAGCTGTAGATTTTGCACTAACATCTGTTGCATAGTCAGTTGCAGTAGCAGTAGCTACTGACCATGCTACAGCAGTGAGCAGCAGAGGTGGGGAGAGGTGGGGCTATGGCTTCATCGTTATCAGGAAATGATCGTATAGGGCAGGGGTATTAAACAAAAGTTCAACGAAATCCAGTTAGAGAAAATCTCCCCATGCAAAGGTCCGGAACATCAAAATGTCTAACTTGCTTTATGAATTAGTGTGATATATTTTGAAGTAGCCTGAAGCTTTATCAACGTCTGCATGTAATCAACAACTGACTGCCAATCAAATAAAGAAAGTACAATTCATAAACAACAATATGTATTGTCTATTAAAATTGAACTATACAGATATACAATAAATACTGTGGATATATGTTCCTCTCTGGCTGCATTTAAAAATAAAATAGAGAAAGTTTGGCGTGACGGATGTTGTTTTCGACTTACTTCGCCTACGTGAATTCTCCCTTGCTTTTCTCCAGAAATTGCTCAAGTTAACATATACTACACAGTGTGTTCTGAGCTTCATAACGAGAGGATATAGGCCGTGGACTTGCCAATCAGTACTGACACTTTGTGCCTATATTGTTTCTTTTCCTCTGTAGTGTTCGAAGACGACGTGGAAAGTAAATATATATATTAGTATTTTAATCGTGAAAATTCACGTGTATAAAAGTTTCGATAAGAANTGCCAATCAAATAAAGAAAGTACAATTCAAAAACAACAATATTTATTGTCAATTAACATTGAACTATACAGTTATAGGCTACAGTAAAATACTGTGGATATGTGTAATGTTCCTCTCAGGCTGCATTTGAAAATGTGTGCATCTTAAAAGTGTTTAATTTTAGATAAATAAAATAAAGTGTAGCAGCAGCTTGAGTGTCTCTTTTTCTTTGTTAACCGTTTCACATCATGACTTAACAGTTTCAGACGATTATAGAACAATATCAGTCTTTAGATTTACACATCATAACAATTGAACAGTTTTAAAGTTTCTCTTTCTTTCCCTCTTGTATTGCAGTCCCTCCACTCACTTTTTTTTATTCAGTGCGAGAATTGAGCTTGAGCTTGTCCTGCCAGGAGTTTAAATCTGGGCTGGAATGGTGTCAGGGCCATTCTCATACACACATGCAGGTGCTCATTGGTTAGCCTCGGTTAGCCTGCCCTGGAATGATATTTATTTGTTGTGACCTCAGTTCTGACTTGAGAGGGAATTTTTGGTCCAACACTTTGTGTTTTGTCTCATAGTGGCGTTTTGGCACTTTTAATGAGCGCCACGGTCTCTGAACAGATGAGACACACTGGTTCTGTGCTCCCAGTGAGCAGGATGAACATGAATGAGTCCGTCCACTCAGGGTTAAAAGCTCTGTTCTCACTGTCCACTTTCCTCTTCTTGGAGAGCGCCATGTGTAATTATTTATCTCTCCCTGTCTGCCGCGAACACGCCTGTTCACTCGTCTCCGCTCCTCTCCCTGTATCGCTAATTATTATCTTCACTCACTTTCCTCTCCGCTTCTCTTTGCCACGCTCTCGTCTCTTCTTCTGTGTTTCTCTCCCTGTATCGCTCACTCGTATCTTTCGCCCCCTGTCGGCGGCGGATAAAATAGAATCGCCACGTCAAAATTGAAATCCCTTATTAATGTATTGATTATAGGTCCGGGTCCGTATAGGTCGGCGTCTGGGTCCGGATCCGGACCGCCTGTTGCCGACCCCTGATCTAAATCATCAGTAAAGTCTACGACCATATTTCCTAGTGTGGTTCGGGTGCCATCGTGTGGCCTTCTGTAGGCATCGTACTTGCTTCGGATGTTGCTTGGCTGTTGACCATGTTCGGGGCCATCTTTGTGCGAAATTCACAATTCTATATTCATGTGTCCATCTGGTGTCAATTTCGGGACAGTGTGACAGGGGCTTTAGGGAGAACACTTCTTGTTTGTGATTGGACAGAGTCTGCCAGAGAAGCACTGCTGTGATTGGTTGTTTTTGCTGCCAGTCAAGAAATGACGCTTCGTGTTTGTTCATTTTGTTGTAGTCTACCATAGTATTTACATGGAGATAAGCCCCGAATATTCGCATCGCTCTAATTGCTCAAGTTTCACCACGGCTGTCAGCTGTGTTTACTCCTGTCATTCAAACAAGACGCGCTGGAGAGGGGGCGGGGCTTATATCCATGCACAATACATACTATGGTAGATACCAAATACAACAAAATGAACATATTTTGCCATGATTTAATTGTAATACACGTTTAAGAAATGATGCCGAATTAACAACATACTGATACCGGTTAGTAAAAACCATGCTTTAATGCTTTGACAAGTGTGCAGACAAGACGGCAGGCGAAAAACCTTTTAAAATGCGTGTTTTCTGAATGGAGATAGGATCGATCAGGCTAAACTAACCTGTAGCTGCTCCGTCCACACTCAACAACAACCTTATACAGACAGAAATAAAGCAGCGACTGTATTCGCCATTCACCATTTTCAGACAGTCTGCGTTTTGTACATGTTTCACTTTTGTCCAGTTTCTGAACAGACATGAGGAGCTGTGAGCTCTGTGTGCTAACAGCTAACGGCTGATGTTTTGGGGCATGTTGCGCTGTCGGGTG